GTATTAAGACTGAATGAATTCAATGGAAAAAAAAAATCATAAACACAAACTCACATACAAACTTAGCCAGAGTCAACTGGAAAATAAAGCGACATATTAAACACTGCAAATTCCATTAACAATGTACATTAATATTTGAAAAATTATGATGGTAAATAGAGCAATAATAGATTCTGAAAGACATAAACCAAAGTTCTACATACATACACACACACACACACTCACACACACACACACACTCACACACACAATGTGGAAGAAGTGGCTAACTAGCAGAAAAGACCTTCAGCAAAGTCAAATTTTGCATATGAAAATCTTTTCCAGCACTCCCCATTTCTCAGAGAAGATACAAATGACATTTTCCATCCCAGGTATCCCAGATCGGATCATCCTCCAGCAGCTGTTCACAGACCAGTGAGTATGTTTTCATGTCTCCATCATTTTGAGGAGTTAGGCTGAGCATCACTGCAGCGTTTGAAGTTAAACTGAAGGAAGGCAGGAAAAGGAAAGCCTCCCTAGATCAGACTGTGCTGAACTCTACAGGAAAAAATGACTTTCAGACATTAATCTGACTTTTAGTTTCAGCTTTGATTGAAGGGAAACTTATTTTTCCTCCTCTCCTCGCTTTTGGTCCTCAGCTGTCAGCTCTCAGTAATCGTTGTCCTCTGAATCCTCTCCTCTGGTTTCTCTCAGCCTTTTGCTTAAAACGCAGCAGCAGAGACCAGAAAACATGTTGGTGGAGAAATCAGAGCAGAATTTCATAGTGGGACCCAAAACAGACCAAAATGAGAGAAAAAGAACTAATTAATTTGTCATTATGAGGGGAGAAAAATACTGTTTGAAAAAAGTCTTTAACTCCTTTTTTTGTTTTTAGTGTATAAAAGTTATGAAGATTTAAAGCCGCTGAAGTTCCAAAGCAATGAGAGACTATAATTTGGATTTCTCTGGATAGTTCAGAAATTCTGACGTAGATGTTCTTTTTATGATTTTTCTTATGAAAAAATGCTTAAATATTTCTTTCTTTTGCAGTTCAATCAAAGATGGATCTGTTCTTGACCCTGATAATCGTACTCTACTCTGGTAAGAGAACTTTCCTCTGGATTTTACACACATTTAAGGTACAATCTTGTTTTCAGTATCTAACATTTATATCTTCTGTATCTGTCACTTTTCCTCCATGAATACACAGGACTTCCCCTCAGCTCCTGCTCACAGCCCCCCCCTCGTCAGTACCACTATGTTCCCACAGAAATGAGCTGGACCGAAGCCCGACAGTTCTGCAGAGAGAAATACACCGACCTGGCCACCTTTGACAGCATGGATGACATCAGCAGGCTGAAAGCTGATTTCTCTTATTCCTGGGCCTGGATCGGACTCTGGGATGACCCTGAAAACTGGAGAACCTCAATGGGTAATGACACCAACTCTTGGAGGTGGTCAGCAACAGGAGAAACCAGCAGAACTGGGTACCAGAATTGGGACTCTGGACAACCAGATTACTGGGCCGCAAATGAGACATGTGCAGCGATGCGTAATTATGGAATATGGATTGATATGAAATGTGAAGACACAAGAGAATTCATCTGCTACAACGGTAATGTTACACTTTTTTATTTTACAAAGTGTTTGGTTTTATTAAAAGCAACAAAGAGCCTCTTACCCATTTCCAGTTTCTCTTGTTTGATCCAAACCTAAAGCATAAAAAATGAGGTCCTGTTTCAGGTTTCATGTCTGACAGAAAAATCTAACCAATCCCTTTTTCCTGCTTTCTAAAGTAGTTTATCTAAAGATTTGAGCAGCCAGTGAGGAGTTAGAAAACTGAAAGCTCAAATGGAGCAGTTTTACCAGACAGTTTGTGTTCTATCTCAGCGAGAATTGTAGCCTCTCATGCAGACTGCAGCTCCCAGCTCTGAGCATCTATTGTTAATATCTGATAGGAATAACTGAACTCACTGTGGGTTATGTTCTGCTGCAGTTTCAGAGAACAACAAGAAAACCTATTTCCACATCCCAACCAGCAAAACATGGCAGTCTGCTCAGCAGCACTGCAGGAAACACTTCACCGACTTGGCCACGATTGAGAATGAGGCAGAAAACACTGAGGCCAACGAAGTAAAACCATTCGGCTATGAGTATTGGATCGGTCTGTACAGGAACCCCTGGACTTGGTCTGACGGGAGCCAAAGCTCTTTCAGGAACTGGGATCCCATCGGCATGAATAACTATCATCATGTCGAACACTGTGGGATACTCAATCAGGACGATCATTTTGAGGATGATGCTTGTGGAGCTAAGTGGCCCTTCATCTGCCATCAAGGTGACTACTGATGCTAAAAAAATTCTTTAAGAACAGGAGAATTTGTCTCTGACCTGATTTTTGTTCAGTTTTAAGGCGGAACACCGTTTTCAAGATGACGTCTGAGGCTGATGTTGACCTCTCTGATCCACACATTCAGTCCCAGGTC